AAACATACAAGTTAACATACACCCAGACCAGAAACAAAATTTGTGGATCACACAAAGAGTTGCTCTGTGCCGTAATCGAACCCGCTACAAGTTGTGCAGCAGCCGGTTGCCCAGCCCAGCAGCAAAACATTTCGCAGATACAATGTAATATTCATTGAGATTCATATTTTGCAGTCTTACGAGGTACGGGGTAGATTTATCCCCTTTTGTCCGAAACTAGTCGCGTGCCGCGGGCACTGCAAGGGTTGTGTGTGTGATATGCAAAACTCATATCGACATTAGCGGAGTTGAAGAGGGTTGCTTCATTATTCCACGTCACATGCAACCCCTTGTTAGATGATAGGGATGGCTCAGTTTGGAGTTTTAAGACATTTTGCAGGCAACTGTTTTATTTTATCGTAAAAATCTAGGTAAGGTGCAATTTTTTCATTACTTGTAAAGTTAAAACTCATCATCTTTGTCTTCTTATTTGTGATTATTGATATTCATTAACTTTACGATGTATGAATTATTTCGTTTATGAAGCATTAAATAAGACAATTTTGTCGAGAAGTGTTTAAACAAAGTGACATATTTTTTCCCACTTTAATGAGTCTTTATTTGAATTGATCAAGAAACCAAAAATAATTATGTAAACATAGTAACCAAGTTGGTAGATAATACATGCAAAGGCTTAGAAAAAATAATAATCCCCAACCAAAATTAAGAACTAGGTATACGCTCGGCAACCCTACATCTTCGGCAGTTCTCGTGTCGGTCACCGATGGTATCTATGGAGGCCGTAGAAAAAAACTAATTACGACTCCCCATTGACATTTGAGGGGAACTCTCTTCACCATCACACATAATAGTAATTGCTATTTGCATACGTTTTCAAATAATGAATAAATACCCTAGGTAGGTATTCCCTTTTTACTAAGGTTTTTGCATATTGTAAGAAATCTTAAAAGTTTACAAGAAATAAAATTGGATCCTTACAATTTTATTACAATGGCATAAGGATTATTTTCGTTTGCAGCGAGACGCTATCTACTGTTTTGTGTTTCGAACAAGGTGAAATATTCGTTTTAATATTAAAACAGGTCCAGCTTTTCGAAAAACAAAAATGGGCACAGAATACAATTTTATTAATAAATAATTGTTTATTTATCTTGTGAAATACTCTTGTGACAATCAATGGTATAAAAAAAGTGATCAATACCAATTAAAGTCTGAAGTGTAAGATACCCAATATGTCCAAATTGCTGTCAATCATAATAAAAAGGAATATCTATTTTATTTATTAATATTATTATCTCATCTTCCTCAATCGCACCCCTGCTGCTTGAAGATAAGCTTTGCGTGGCAACGCTACGACACTACGCTGACGTAGAGGTGTTGCTACGCACTACGGCGTCTACGGAAAAGTTCATAATCTTAGTGTTACGTAAAAATACCTCATCAAATAGGTAGGTACTATAAAACTGTTGATTTGGGTATGATATACGTTATATCATATTTATGACCCATTAAGAAAGATATTGGTAATTTTATTGTCTTAAACCATAAATTAGTGATAAGCAGATATCTATCTTGTTGACTTGATATAACGTGACGACATTTTTGTCGAAGCAGCTCGTTAGGACGGATATTAAAATTGATTGTCATGCTTATTGTAGGTAGTTACTATACAACAATAAACTATGTATTTAGCTTTAAGTAACATTACTTGGATTCAGATCTTTTGTTAAAGTATAAATTCACCATAGAGAATTTAATGGACCTCCTTGCTATACAAAGCTATACTTGCTATAGGTATAGCTATACTTGCTTGCGTAGTGTTTCGTCGTGTGAGTGAGGTTACCGGAGGGCCAACCCCCCCCGCCCCCCCCCCAGCCTGAATCCCCAACAATCCTCAAACTACGTATCGCCTCTGGTGTTCCAGGTGTCCATGGGCGGGGCCGATTGCTTACCATCAGGTGATCCGTATGCTTGTTTACCGGCGTATCCCATAAAAAAATAAACTGTGTAAAATTTTATCGAAAATATCAACTTAATATTGACACCATACAACCACACTTCCTTTGACTCCAGAAACGCCACGTTCGCTTGACCCCGGAACAAGCAGCGGAGCTGTACAAGGGTCACTATGGCTCCCATCATTTTCCTCACCTAGTGGCTCACATGTCAAGCGGACCTATCATCGCACTCGTCATCACGGCCAAGAACGGCATACAGAAGTGGAAGACGCTGATGGGGCCGGCCATGTTGGTATCATTATCTCTTGGTTATGTATCTATCTGTTAAGAATCTTTGAAGTGATAATAACTTTAATCTCCGAAAAGGTGGCAGTGGTGTACATCTAGCTAGGTACGATATATGTTTGTTACAAGTTCTATAATAGGAGGGAAGTCCATTGCAACCTGTCCATTACACACAAATTCAGACTTCTTACTGAAACTGCAAAAACTGAAAAAAGTCAGTAATAGTTTGCTCAATAAATTATTATGTTTTCGGCTTTCTCACGAAATACTACTGCAGTACCTAGCAGCGCGACAGTCGCCGCGTCCCAGGTCGCGAAATGCTGCTCATGAATATGAGCCTCTAGTATGGCTTGAAACTAGTCGAGTTCCTCGTTAAATTATTACGTGAGTAAGCCGAAAACATAATAATTTATTTAGTATCTTTCAAGAAAGTTACAATACAAAAATAGTTTGCTCGATGCGAGAATCAAACTTTTCATAGCAGTTGCGACTACTCTACTAACATTAAATGGCTATCAGAAATGTTTTAGTAGATTATTCAATACTATTATGTAATCTTTTGGCAGGGTACTAGAAGCGCAAGCCTACTGGCCGGATAGCTTGCGGGCTTGCTATGGCCGGCGGACTAAGTATGGAGACTACTTCAACGGGTTACACGGCAGTGAAAACCTTGCCGAGTCCCTGCGAGAGATACATTTCTTCTTTCCTAACAGTTAGTAACTTTTATAATGATCTCATAAATGAATTATATCATCGTCATCATCACCGTCAACAGCCAGAGAACGTATACTGCTGGACAAACGTATACTACTCTTAGGCATCCATGTCGAACAACACCTCGCTACCTGCATCCGGCGCGCGCGGAAATCGCGGATAACTCACTTGAATATATTCAGAAAAACTCTACTAGTTTCGAACCATAGAGGGGTTCTTCTTCATTAGCAGCGTGCGCGGTCGCGGAGATGTCGCGCAGCGATGTCGTCGGTTCACCTAGCTAGCGGGAGGCCTGCTCACAATTCATATACAATGTTTGGGCGAAACGAAAAAACAGCAGTTTAGCCATGAAAAGCCGACTAAAGATCACAGTTAACAGAGATTAAGCAACAGTACCTATTCTCCGAAACAGATTCTCCAACCCGGCTACCTGGGTACCAAGCACAAATAAACGTAAGAGTATCGAGTGCCTTCGGCGCTGATTGGCCAGCTCCAGTGAATTAACCAATCCGAGTGACGAACGCACTCAATACTATTACGTTACGTTGCGATGTAAAAATTTTTTCGTGGTTGGCAGTTGGCACTTAGGCGTGCAGTATTTGCTAATGTAAACCCTCTTATGTAGAAGTGGCTCATGGACTAGCAGTGTACTACCAAGATCTATTGATAAAAGTAAATTACACTAATATTTTCTACTTTCATTTCACAGTGATTGCAGGCCCAGTCGTCCGTCATTGGCAAGTAAATGACTACATACAGAGACATTTAACTCCTACGTTGCTCCCAGCTTTGACGGCATTGGCTCACGAACGTCCAGCGGAACCCATACTATGGCTAGCTGATCATCTTCGGAGACACAACCCTAATGAGCCAGAGTTAGCTTCACAGCCTCCAGAGCAGAGAGAAGACGCAAGGTGCCATACTCCTAAACCTTCTGAAGAATCACTAGTCAAATAGCCTGTTTTAGGCATCTAAAAACGGATAATTTATTTTCGATATGTCTAGTGATTGTTGGCGTTCCATAGTCTGTTCTGTGTACCCCCAGTGTGAGGTTATGTATGTCTACTGATTGTTTGAAAATAAATTGTATTCATAAAAATAGTTTTGCTTCAAAAATCTTTTCCTGTATCTATTCAAAGAGCCAAGCATTTTCTTTTCATACGGCGTTTATAACACGATTATGTAAAAATACTTTCATTATACATATTATACTATTATATAAAGCGGAATAGTTTGTTTTTTGGTTTGAACGCGCTAATCTTCGTAACTACAAGTCTGATTTTAATAATTATTTTTGTGTTGGATAGTGCATTTATCGGGGATAGATATAGGCTATAAAACATCACGCTACGAGCAATAGGAGCTGAGCAGAGCGTGTGAAACCGCGCGGAAGTAGCTAGTATTATAATAAAGCTGAAGAGTTTATATGAACATGCTTATCTGTGGAACTACTAGTTCGAATTGAGAAAATTATGTTAAGATGATTCATTTTTGAATTACACATCATGCTGCCAATAGGAGTAGAGAAGTGGGTGGTATCGTGCGGGAGTAGAACATAACATAACATCACGCCTTTTATCCCCGACCGGATAGGCAGAGGTACACCTATGCCACAGTACAATATAACACCTACTTTTCACTATTTATGTTATGAGTCCCACATAATAGGGGGTGAGCCTATTGCCATATACCGGGCACAATTCGAGACTCCATGCTACTACTGAGATTTTTTTTAAAAAACCCAATAATACTTTTCCCGACCCGGGAATCTAACCCGAGACCCCAGGCCCGGCAGTCACACTTGCAACCACGGGCAACGAGGCAGTCGAACAGAGGCCTTAGTACGAGTTTGTTTTACGCAAAGTTTTCGTAACGAGTACTTGTACGGCGCTCTGATTGGTTAGTTTATTGGGGCCGGCCAATCAGATTGTCAAACTCGTACTCGTTTCGAACTTTAAACGTACATTAAACTTGTAGTAAGGCCTCTGAAAGTCGTCGAAGTAGAACAGAACGAGGGAGTAGAAGTATACAATAAAAATCCGGTTTAATATAAAACACATTTACTTTTCCCAACTTTATTTATAGAAACAGTTTACAAATGAGCTATCACAGGCTAGCGTGTGAACTACAATGTTACAATACCATTGCAAATAATAGATGATGATAGCGATCGTTATTGTATTGGTTATCCATGATGATTACAAATCAAGAATTACTAAACTTACAAAAAACCTAAACATACACTTAAAATCATGTTTACCTCAAAACATCGTTTAGAATCGCACTAGGATTGATGTTATTGTTCTATAGTCCATTTATGAATAAATATTTTTCTTTACATGCTATCTAAACGAGATATCGAAGCAACATAGACACGAAACAAAACTCTATTGTGACTATTTACTAAGCAATAAGTACACTTCTCCACGTCCCTTTTTATACAAAAATACATTCAATTTTTATTTATTTATTTTTAAATTCTCTTAACTTTGAAAACACTAAACTATCTAACCACAAAATAGTCACAACATATTTTGTTTTATATTGAATCAAACTTAACACTAAACGGATTTGGTAGAAAAGAATCATGACTTAAGTAACACTAAATGTAGGAGATTACGAATATCGGCATAACACCGCTGTAGAGGGCGGCATCTGAAACAGAACGGGACTTTGTTAAACAAAGTAAAAATACTTAACTTTTAAAGAAATTACTAAAGATTTTCTATCAACCTTTCGTGTGTCTAAACGTGGATTCATGCGAGACACAATGTATTTTCTATTGTGTCTCATATCAGTGCATTCAAAAGGTTAACAATAAATAAGGAATGATTTCAGCAATTTTGCGCAGTCAGTCACCGGTTAGCGCAGGGGGCACTTATTGCGCACGTATTAAAAAAGAATAAGTTAATATTTTAGTATATGAGATTAATCTTCTTATTTATTATTATTATTGTCAGCCAAAAATCAAACACACATTTAGTTCATTTTCTAGTAACATAACTGATTCCACCATTTTTCGACTGATGATGACGATTCATCGTCAAAATCCAACGTGATATTTAACTTAAAGAATAATACTTACACGTTTAGTTTCTCTTCTCCCGGTACATGTGCACGTATGCAGCGTCTGAGGATGAGCAGAGCCCGATCTTCTGGCACACTCCCTTCGTGCCGAACTCCTCAATTAGGTGGATCACACTGTCACCGTAGATCTCCATCATGGAGTGGCACTGTTGGATGAAATAGGACAGAATATACTTTCTTGTATACCTTTGTTTTACGCAGCATACATCACTACATAGTATGAAACAAAGGCTCTCCGCCGTCTGTCTGTCCCTATGTATGCTTAGATCTTTAAAACTAGGCAACGGATTTTAATGTGTTTTTTTTTAATAGAGTGATTCTTAGGGAAGGTTTACATGTGTAATGCATGTATATACATGCATATTACACCCGTGCGAAGCCAGGGCGGGTCGCTAGTTATATAAACTAAAAAGTAAGTAAAGTAACAAAAGCGGTTTTATTAAAGTAATTACTTCCCAGTATTCTTTGGGTTAAGTAATTTTACACGTAATTTTTTGAACTCTGATCTCAATCATCATGTCAAGATTCTTCACTCTCCATAACATCAAGCCATTTTAAGTACGTAGAAGTTTAGTATTAGAAATGTAACTACACACAATCACATTTTATCAATTCTATTGCAAATTTTATAAGCAAGACAATGCATCAATTTTCGGTCAGTAAAATTTAGGTATAAATAATTTATAAAAGATTTAATGTTAAGCTTAAACCATCATCTATCTTTATGCGGAGATCGGCAATGGTTCGATTATTATAAAATATTAAAAAAGAGGGGAGTAATGTAGGTCACTTGTTAATTTACATTATAAAGCTTATCGGGAGGTATTTAGGTCGCGCACATGAAGGGTAAAGTGGAGTGGCGCAGTTTGATGAATAGCTTTTAGATAAAAATGTTTGGGACTTGTTTAGTAAAATTTTATATTCTATAGAACGTCGACGTGATATAGAATAATATCGAAGCATTATAAACAAATTAAATATTTTTTAATCATTTTCTATAAAAAAAAGCACCATTTCATCAAGATTTTGCTCTGATTGGGTCTATTAAAGAGATGATCAGAGAGTAAATTATTTTACTTAATATATTTCTTGCTTGTTCTTTATACCTTTTTTTTAAGGGGGGAAAATCATCGAATGACTGCTCCCGCCTGGGTGAGCGGGAGGGAGTGTCAGACTCTTACTGACTAAAAACCACCCCGTTCCTTCTCCTGCACGTCGAGCCGGAGCCCCGGTTACCCGTTAGGTTCTCCGCGACGTTCTTTATACCTTAGAGGTTTGTCTTTGCATTATCCAAAGGTCGACTTGTAGAGAATGCCTACATATACGCAAAATATGTAATTTTATATGGAAACTGGACTCACCCTTTCATTGTATTTGGCGGGTAATAATTCGCAGGATTTCTCCACGATATGCACAATGTTACGGTCTACTTTATCGTTGCTGAGCACTTTGCGAACTGCCATCACGACTGCCTCACATACTGCACAGTCCAGGATCTCCTCTGCAAAAACACATAACATAGTTTTAGAAATTATAACAATTACTTCATCAATGTCCTATAGATTAGGTAATGTCAGGGTTCTTAATGGAAATGGAGAACATCGATCGAGTGAGTACAAATTTGAATACTAAGCTCTAAAGTCTCGCTTGAGATTCAATTGGATGGGGCAACTTGGCAACATATTGCATTCTTTAATTCGGTTTGATCCCATCGCTTCCTTTACCTAATGTAACGTGTCACGAGAAAACACGATTTGCAGTGTTACAACAGTTCTGCAAACTAATAATAGAAACATAACATAACATCACGCCTTTTTCCTCGAAGTGGTAGGCAGAGGTGCACATTACGACACTTAATGCCACTGTACAATGTAACACCCACTTTTCACTATTTATGTTATGAGTCCAATGTAATAGGGGGTGAGCCTATTGCCATATACCGGGCTATACAATTTCAGACTCCGTGCTACTAGTGAATTTAACAAAAAAAAATCAGTAATACTTTCCCCGACCCGGGATACGAACCCAAGACCCCTTGCCCGGCAATAATAATAGACTACCTAAATATAAAAGAATGAAAGTAACAATTACCTTTAGCAGCAACAATGCTGGGTCTGTCGCAGAGTTTGAGTTCCTCGCAGACCTGCTCAGGGTCGAGCTCCTGCGCCAGCAGACTGATCACCATGTCGGCGTACTTGTCTACAAACTGCTCGCATTCGCTGCGGATGTTCTTTGGCATACGCTTGCATACGTTCTCAATTACGTGTTTTACTTCGTCCTGTGGAACAAGTATCACAAAAGTGAACATTACAATCTATACAGATAAATAAAATTGGAGTGTCTGTTTTTAATATTGAAATAACCGCTTACTACATGCACATGAATATATGTACATACGAAATTTTTTGTCTGTCTGTCTGTTTGTTTATACTGGCTAATTTTTGAAATAGCTGGACCGATTTTGACGGGACTTTAACTGGCAGGTAGATGACGTACTAACTAAGAAGCGACATAGGCTATTTTTATTTTGGAAAATTGAAAGAAGTTATGTCCTAAAACTCATATTTTAGGACATAAGTTATTTTTGTTAGTAGAATATATATTTTATCTCGTTAGAAATCGCGGTTTATGCTTGCGTTCAAGATGGCTAATCTCAACAGATTAATCAACTTATTAGTAAATGTAGTAAGACATACTGAAGAATATAATTCAAGAGAAAGGATCTATAAACACCACTCTTAGCTGGCTTAGATATTGCAGCGTAGCCATGTCACCAAATTTTTAATGCTGACCTGTCTGTTCAGACGGTCAGGTTTAATGACGCCAGTATTTGATTTTGTTGTACAATCAAAACGACTTGATTGCGAATTTCAGGAAGTTAAGTTTAAGTGAATTTAAGTTATTTATGAAATAACAATATAACAGAGTATATACCTCATTATGTTTGTCCTTGATCTGGTCATCGATCTCCTTGAGCACAAACTCGCAGATGATGCAGACTGTCTTCTGTTTCATTGGGGGACGTACTTCACGGCCGTTGACCGTGTTGTCGAAGATTTCGTTCGTTTCTGCAAAAGTAGCAATGACAATGTTATTTTATACTAGTTTAAGCAAGAAATGTAATTATTAGGTGATCTCAACATTTAGGATCAAGTGGTCTGTGCAGAATCGAATTCTAGTTTGAATAGGTACTTTACAATAGGTCAAATTGTTTTAAAGTCATCAGAAGGCACAGTTTATTTCAAAATCCCTTGTTATAGATATTTGAAGAGCTAAAGCTAATATGCTTAGATTTTTGGGATGGAAGCTTTACCATACTAAAGACAAATAATAATAAAAAAAACTTACCGATATCATGATCCTTGTGTGCACTGACGAGCATGGTAGAGGGCAACAGAGACCGTCCTCTATAATTATTCCTATCAGCCATCAGCTGAGGCTTCTCATGGAACTTGTCAATGGAACTCTGGGTGATCTTCAACGGATCCTTGACCTCATCTTTGCAGAGTTTGAGGAAGACACAGATCTCTTGCGCGTCCATGTTGGCGACCAACATCTCTATCAGCTGCGGTGCGTACGTGTCTACGAAGTCAACGCATTCCGTGCGCAGCTTCGTGGATAGATGCGTGCATAGATTGTCCAGGGCAGTGCGGATGCTTTGCTGTAGGAAAAGGGTGAATTGAGATATTGTTTTTTAACCGACTTCAAAGAAAAGAGGTTCTTAGTTTAACCTGTATGTATGTATACGTGTTTGTGCGCGATTGTCTCGCGATTAGCTGAACCAATTTTGCTGTTTTTTTTCAGAAAAGAGGTTGTTAGGAAAAGGTGGACACTTAGGAAAAGGTATTAATCAACAAACCGTCGGTAGAAGTCGGTTTTCTAAACGTAGTTTCTAAGAGAATTATTCTGTTTATATCTTTCCTAAGATAAAACAAGAAATGTAAAAGATGAAACATGTATGATTTTAATGAAGAAGTCATGCGATCATATCAATGGCTAAATTGAACTTGTAGTCAACAGTCGTTAAGAAAGGCTGCCTTTATATTGAAATTAACTACTTTGTATGGATGAATATCGTAGATAATGTCTACTTCGAACATAAATAAAATAATATTGTCTTAGTACCAATACGAAATGAATGCAACATACCTCGGTGCGGTTATTCTTGAGCATAGTCTCGAGTTGTTCCACCGCGAACAAGCACAGAGGACAGTTGGACTTGTCGGAGTTAATGTCCACGCGACGGACTTCACCCACTTGTGGGCAGATTCCTAGAGCTGGGCAAATCTGGAAAGATAACAGGAACAATTTATTATTTAGTTTATTTATGGAACAAGATTTGAACGAACACAAGATCCTGATACAGAGGTTGCAAATTAGATGCGAGTAAATTAGTATTAGGTTATTATCCTTACTAATATTATAAATCGGAAAGTGAGTTTGTTTGTTCCACTTTCACGCCGTAACTACTAAACCGATTGCTTTGAATTATATAATAATGAATAAAGTCCCGATTAAATAATAGGGTACTTTTTAATCCGGAAAAATTTGATTTTCCCGAGGAAAAACAAAAGTATTGGTACAGATGGCTCTGTGTGTATTGGTATATGTCACATAGGCTACTTTTTATCTTTTTGTGACGCGAGAGAAGCTGCGGGTAAAAGTTAGTATTATATATTATACAAGTGGATGTTAAATTCAAAATGAGACATGTTGTTTGAGGTCGACTTTATATTCCAATCGACTTAAGATTTTCAATTTTCATTAATGACACGATGACATGAAATTGAGAGAGATGTGCTGCACATCTCTCTCAATTTTATAAGTTACATGAAGTTTTCTGTAATGTAATATTGAATATACTAACGGTAGCAGGGTCGATTCTCTGCACGAGCAGCGCTACGACGGCGGGTCCGTACTGAGTGACGAACTGCTTGCACTCGTCGTTCACTGAGTGAGGCAACTTGTCGCATGCCTTGTCCACTGCTTGGAAGATCTCGTCCTGTACACATACAAAGGTAAAATTAGACCTTTTTAAAATTTATTACTACTGTGTCTAACTCTGTCTACGTATCAGATGGTAGTGTATATAATCTATTCTACACAGTTCCTATTAGCTACGAAGCTATAATTATTTTACGAAACTTATCGGCACAGAACAAAAATACTGATGTTGTCATGTTTAATTAAACAAAGGCATATTAAAAAGATATTTGTAATGGGTAAGTACATAATATTTTAATTTAAATGCGACGAAAAGTTTTAAAACTTTGATTTTTTAAATATTTTGGTTTTATAATTGCTATAAATTATTACATTTTATTTTACTGCATATTACACAAGCCTATTTTCGCGGATTCTCTATTTAACTCAAAGGTTGACTGGGAGAAAATGCCATACGACATTAAGTCCGCCTTAAATATGTACCTTATTTTTGGGTGCATTAAAAAGTTAATAATAAATCAAAAATTTTCGAAATCGCTATGGAATTTTGATATAGTACTTGTGTATATTTTAAATACGTACCTCAGTCCTAGTGTCGCTGATCTCGACCTGCAGATAGTGCAGGAAGTACTGACAGAACGAGCACGCCGCCTTGCCCTGCGGCTGCGGGACTGATACAAACATGCGCTCGATGGGCAGCGGGCCCGCGCTCGTACTGGCCAGTACGCGGACGTTGGTCTGCTTGCTTATTGGGACGCGGGCCAGCTGAGGAATACCGAAAAAAGATGATGTAAATTAAAAAATCCCATAAGGCCGGCGACGTCAGTCGAAAAACTTCTAGAGAAGTTACAAATAGTAACTCCTTTGGTTTCGCATGTGCCCATGGGCGGCGCCAATTTTTTATCATTGCTTAGTACGAATTTGTTTTACGATGAACGAGATCGAAATGTTACCGCGTTTAACCTTCTAATTGATTAGTTTATTCAAGCAGGCTAATCACATTGGCCTGTATTCTGGTGATCCGTTTACTGACCTATTTCAATAATTTCAATTAGTTTTGCGTGGTCCACGTGGAACATACTATTGTTTTCAAAAAAGAAATTCTATTACAGGTACACAAACACCGGACAGGTGAAACGAAAGCTTGTACAAACTTATTTTTAACAACAATACTAGCATCTACCCTGATGCTAGTTTTATTATAATGTCCGTCTGGTAGATTATTTACACACATTAGACACGTATTTTTTATTTTCTCACAGAAACAAACACTTTCTATTTGAAATATCGCGTGTTGTCACTTCTTTTATACGTAGAAATGACGTTTTGGCTCCCACTCGTAAAGTTTTTATTTTTTTAACCTTACACGAAAAAATAAAAAATACGTGTCTAAACTTTTTATACCCAGTCATCATCCCTATTGTATTGTAAACAAATATCGTATTTTAACAACCCTTACCTGCTCAGTTTTTTGTTTCTTATCCATATCATATCCACCAATAAGTTTGGCTTTAACAGCAATTTCTCCAGGCACCAGAGGAGCGATGGGTACGTCTTGCGTTTGGTTTCCACAGACACCAATCATGGCACAGAGTTCATTGGCCTTAAGTTCCTCGACCAAGTATTTGTAGATGATAGGATAGTACTGCTCAGCTAGGTGAAGGCATTCGTCCTTGAAGTTACCAGTCTGTTTGCAGAGACCTGTAAAAATTGTGTCAAGTTTGATGTTTGTGAAAAATAGATGGCGTTGACTATATTATTAGCTATTATATGCAGTTTACGACGAAGGGTAAACCAGAGTCAGAGTCTACGGAAAAAAAATTTCATTGGTACGTTGTTTTTGTTAATAGTCTTCAATTTAGTTACTAAATTTATTTATTTCTAGAAAAATTATAATGTTTCGGACTTGATTTTTAAATAATGTTTAGATCTTTTTTTTACCTTTCAGTACTCTGTAGAACTCAATTTCGGTAGTGTTGGCGACCATGACGTCACGCAAGTGCTTCACCAACTGCTCACACAGCTCACATGGCACGTCACTGAATAAATAAACAAAATAATCAGATAAAGAACCAAGCTAGAATAAAACCATTGTTGCCTATATTAGTTACTAAACGGCATGAAAGTATTATTTAAAATAGCTAACAACTACTTTTTTACAAGCTACTAACCAATTTGCACGCATTTAACGCAGGATTATGTGCCCCGAGATGGCTTGAAACTGATCGAGCATCCTCTTACAGTTTACGAGTGTGACACATAAATTTAATTTTCAGTAAATTTCACATCAGTTATTACCTAAACAAGGTCTTAATTAAATATTGCAATGCGACAGATCAACAATAACCCAACCATAACAAAACACACATATTCCAGAACATCCTTCATACAAAAATTACTTACTCAGTAGGTTTGAAGTCAGTGAACTCGGCAGGGAAAGTGAACTCGTCGTGTTGATGGAACTTGTATGAGCATTGTCCACTCACGTGGCACACGCTCTGGCCTGTCAGGTCCTTCTTCAAAGCTTCCAGAATGTTCTCGTAGTACTTGAAGACTAGCATCGAACATGAGTCCGAGAGAGAGTCCATCTTGCGACATATCTGCGGATAGGGAAATTGAAGTCTTATGTACTGGGTACATGGTTGTTATTAGCATTGACGACAGTTTGACAAAATCAATAAGAGATTAATTTACAATCGGTTAGTTTTAGTAATCAGTTTATTTGAAGGTGTAGATTCCAATGGAGAATTTGAATTTCCCTAAAGATATATTTTTAATTAGATCATAACTAAGCTCTATCTACATGAGTAAAAAAAACTTAGAATTACTGTACCTGCAGTAATCCAACAAGGAAATCTTCATAGCTGGTGGCATCGAACTTCTTCCTCAGCACACCGACTGTACGTTGGCAGTTGTTGCATTCCACACGCAGGCTCAACTGAGTGTTCTGTAACAATAAACGTGGGATTAACAACCTTACTTATGTAAGACAAGATACAGTTTTCAGTGCAATTAGTTGTGAATAATGTTCTAGGAATTTCAATAAAGAAATTCTGAATGTGAAATTAGAATGTGCGAAAATTCTTTAAATAGGATTTTTTTTTATTTCATGTCGTGGAGAAGAAATAATTATATACTTTTACATGTTTTAATCCTTATTTTATTTTATTGTCATAAGCCTTTCAAGGTACAAACTTTTGGATGTAAATTAAATCTAAATAAAATCACATGATTTTATTTTATAAATCCGTTCTCATAAAAGCTACCTAAACATATCGCCCTATAACTATAAGTAAGGTAGTATAATAAAAATATTATACAATTCAACTGCAAAACCAGTTTATCCTAAAAGTGCTTTGAAAATGAAACAATAAATTGCAATATTTACAAACATAGCGTGATGGAAGGTCGCCGCGTTTGATGTAATCGCGATAACTTGATAATATTGTCGTAAACAACTTACTTATGACAAATATACAAGGTTATTACTTCGCTTAATGTATGTACGGAATACTTGGGTAAGTATTGTTTGAACATTTTGGTAAATCTTCATGTTTTTTATGATAGGTTATCAAAATTAATAATAAAATTCATAGTTTTAGGTTACCTAAATTAATAATCGATCTTAATCGGCGCAATGAACTGTTTTTCTTTCTTTCTTTATAATCCAGCCTCTGGATCGATTTTCACAGATACTATGTCGATAATTGGGTATTAATTTCGGCCCTATAATTTATTGTACCTATCATTTTGGTGTCAGAATTTAACTGACTCACTCCCTTGCAATCTCTATTCTAGCCAAATAACAT